TTTTTTGGCCACATTCCTGAGGGGGGCGTCACCACCTGGCGACTCTCCTGGTTAGCCCCCCCGGTTGTGTACACAGGGAAAACGGTCGTTCAGCAGATAACTTCTCGCTCGCTCTCTCGGCTGGCTGCCTGGATGATTGCTCTAACAACTCGTCGTGTGATTATTTCTCTCCTCACCACATTTACCACTAAATTGTCACATATATATATATATATATATATATATATATATATATATATATATATATATATATATATATATATATATATATAGGGACATTTCAGCAATTGGTGTGGCCTAGCCACTTTTCCAGCTAAACACCTCTTCGGAGGAATGTGAAGATTCCAATTCAAATTTTAACGATAGATGGAATTAAATTTATAGATTTTATTTACTAATATGTATTTGCTATGAAAACATATTTGCGAAAGAGCTTGGCTTGATGCAATACCTTGAAATTATATGTATGTACCTCTAGAGACTTATATATTTAAGCTGTCTTCCATAGTAAATACAGGGTATATAACAAAACCAATCCAATACAATAGTAGAGCGGTCTAGAGATTAATTTGACGAAACCGCTGAGAGGGTTCACGACTGATGAGCCAAGCCCTCTTATTCAATAACTCATATCATTGCAGTAAAGTCTGTAGAGATAATATTTGATGATATTATTTGAAAAGTCAAAATTGCAAGTAAATTTATTTATAAATATTTCAATGATAGATGGTGCAATTAAATTTATATAATTAAATTATTTATAGATATCATTTTGATACAAATTTGAAGTTACAGTAGGAGATATTGAAGTAGTATAATTTATAATTTACAATATATATCGTTTAATACAAAGTTTGAAGTATATTAGGAGATATATTGAAGAAGTATACTTCATAATTTACAATGTATATCGTTAAATACAAGGTTTGAGGTTACAGTAGGAGATACTGAAATAGTATAATTCATAATTTACAATATATATCGTTCAATACAAAGTTTGAAGTATATTAGGAGATATATTGAAGTAGTATACTTCATAATTTACAATATATATATATCGTTAAATACAAAGTTTGAGGTTACAGTAGGAGATATTGTGAAGTAGTATAATTTATAATTTACAATATATATCGTTCAATACAAAGTTTGAAGTATATTAGGAGATATATATTGAAGTAGTATACTTCATAATTTACAATATATATCGTTTAATACAAAGTTTGAGGTTACAGTAGGAGATATTGAAGTAGTATAATTTATAATTTACAATATATATCGTTCAATACAAAGTTTGAAGTATATTAGGAGATATATTGAAGTAGTATACTTCATAATTTACAATATATATTTAAAATACAATATAACGCGGCTGATGATTGTAAAACGAAAATTAAAATTATACCGCGAATGTTTCTTTTAAAAATCGAAATTTATTTTCAAAGAGAAATAGCGACATTTCTAACTTTGAGGATGAGGTATGGAAAGGTGAAACATGAAGAGTAATGGAGAACGGAAAAATAAAAAGTGTCCAGGGGCGGGAATCGAACCCACACCCTTCTGCTTACCGGGCAGGTGCCTTGTCCACTCGGCTACCCTGGACGTATTTTTCCGTTCATAACTTATATTTAAAGTAACATTTAAAATACAATATAACGCGGCTGATGATTGTAAAACGAAAATTAAAATTATACCACGAATGTTTCTTTTAAAAATAGAAATTTATTTTCAAAGAGAAATAGCGACATTTCTAACTTTGAGGATGAGGTATGGAATTTGTATTTTAAATGTTACTTTAAATATAAGTTATGAACGGAAAAATACGTCCAGGGTAGCCGAGTGGACAAGGCACCTGCCCGGTAAGCAGAAGGGTGTTGGGTTCGATTCCCGCCCCTGGACACTTTTTATTTTTCCGTTCTCCATTACTCTTCATGTTTCACCTTTCCATACCTCATCCTCAAAGTTAGAAATGTCGCTATTTCTCTTTGAAAATAAATTTCGATTTTTAAAAGAAACATTCGCGGTATAATTTTAATTTTCGTTTTACAATCATCAGCCGCGTTATATTGTATTTTAAATGTTACTTTAAATATAAGTTATGAACGGAAAAATACGTCCAGGGTAGCCGAGTGGACAAGGCACCTGCCCGGTAAGCAGAAGGGTGTGGGTTCAATTCCCGCCCCTGGACACTTTTTATTTTTCCGTTCTCCATTACTCTTCATGTTTCACCTTTCCATACCTCATCCTCAAAGTTAGAAATGTCGCTATTTCTCTTTGAAAATAAATTTCGATTTTTAAAAGAAACATTCGCGGTATAATTTTAATTTTCGTTTTACAATCATCAGCCGCGTTATATTGTATTTTAAATGTTACTTTAAATATAAGTTATGAACGGAAAAATACGTCCAGGGTAGCCGAGTGGACAAGGCACCTGCCCGGTAAGCAGAAGGGTGTGGGTTCGATTCCCGCCCCTGGACACTTTTTATTTTTCCGTTCTCCATTACTCTTCATGTTTCACCTTTCCATACCTCATCCTCAAAGTTAGAAATGTCGCTATTTCTCTTTGAAAATAAATTTCGATTTTTAAAAGAAACATTCGCGGTATAATTTTAATTTTCGTTTTACAATCATCAGCCGCGTTATATTGTATTTTAAATGTTACTTTAAATATAAGTTATGAACGGAAAAATACGTCCAGGGTAGCCGAGTGGACAAGGCACCTGCCCGGTAAGCAGAAGGGTGTGGGTTCGATTCCCGCCCCTGGACACTTTTTATTTTTCCGTTCTCCATTACTCTTCATGTTTCACCTTTCCATACCTCATCCTCAAAGTTATAAATGTCGCTATTTCTCTTTGAAAATAAATTTCGATTTTTAAAAGAAACATTCGCGGTATAATTTTAATTTTCGTTTTACAATCATCAGCCGCGTTATATTGTATTTTAAATGTTACTTTAAATATAAGTTATGAACGGAAAAATACGTCCAGGGTAGCCGATTGGACAAGGCACCTGCCCGGTAAGCAGAAGGGTGTGGGTTCGATTCCCGCCCCTGGACACTTTTTATTTTTCCGTTCTCCATTACTCTTCATGTTTCACCTTTCCATACCTCATCCTCAAAGTTAGAAATGTCGCTATTTCTCTTTGAAAATAAATTTCGATTTTTAAAAGAAACATTCGCGGTATAATTTTAATTTTCGTTTTACAATCATCAGCCGCGTTATATTGTATTTTAAATGTTACTTTAAATATAAGTTATGAACGGAAAAATACGTCCAGGGTAGCCGAGTGGACAAGGCACCTGCCCGGTAAGCAGAAGGGTGTGGGTTCGATTCCCGCCCCTGGACACTTTTTATTTTTCCGTTCTCCATTACTCTTCATGTTTCACCTTTCCATACCTCATCCTCAAAGTTAGAAATGTCGCTATTTCTCTTTGAAAATAAATTTCGATTTTTAAAAGAAACATTCGTGGTATAATTTTAATTTTCGTTTTACAATCATCAGCCGCGTTATATTGTATTTTAAATGTTACTTTAAATATAAGTTATGAACGGAAAAATACGTCCAGGGTAGCCGAGTGGACAAGGCACCTGCCCGGTAAGCAGAAGGGTGTGGGTTCGATTCCCGCCCCTGGACACTTTTTATTTTTCCGTTCTCCATTACTCTTCATGTTTCACCTTTCCATACCTCATCCTCAAAGTTAGAAATGTCGCTATTTCTCTTTGAAAATAAATTTCGATTTTTAAAAGATACATTCGCGGTATAATTTTAATTTTCGTTTTACAATCATCAGCCGCGTTATATTGTATTTTAAATGTTACTTTAAATATAAGTTATGAACGGAAAAATACGTCCAGGGTAGCCGAGTGGACAAGGCACCTGCCCGGTAAGCAGAAGGGTGTGGGTTCGATTCCCGCCCCTGGACACTTTTTATTTTTCCGTTCTTCATTACTCTTCATGTTTCACCTTTCCATACCTCATCCTCAGAGTTAGAAATGTAGCTATTTCTCTTTGAAAATAAATTTCGATTTTTAGAAGAAACATTCGCGGTATAATTTTAATTTTCGTTTTACAATCATCAGCCGCGTTATATTGTATTTTAAATGTTACTTTAAATATAAGTTATGAACGGAAAAATACGTCCAGGGTAGCCGAGTGGACAAGGCACCTGCCCGGTAAGCAGAAGGGTGTGGGTTCGATTCCCGCCCCTGGACATTTTTATTTTTCCTTCTCCATTACTCTTCATGTTTCACCTTTCCATACCTCATCCTCAGAGTTAGAAATGTAGCTATTTCTCTTTGAAAATAAATTTCGATTTTTAAAAGATACATTCGCGGTATAATTTTAATTTTCGTTTTACAATCATCAGCCGCGTTATATTGTATTTTAAATGTTACTTTAAATATAAGTTATGAACGGAAAAATACGTCCAGGGTAGCCGAGTGGACAAGGCACCTGCCCGGTAAGCAGAAGGGTGTGGGTTCGATTCCCGCCCCTGGACACTTTTTATTTTTCCGTTCTCCATTACTCTTCATGTTTCACCTTTCCATACCTCATCCTCAAAGTTAGAAATGTCGCTATTTCTCTTTGAAAATAAATTTCGATTTTTAAAAAAAACACTCGCGGTATAATTTTAATTTTCGTTTTACAATCATCAGCCGCGTTATATTGTATTTTAAATGTTACTTTAAATATAAGTTATGAACGGAAAAATACGTCCAGGGTAGCCGAGTGGACAAGGCACCTGCCCGGTAAGCAGAAGGGTGTGGGTTCGATTCCCGCCCTTGGACACTTTTTATTTTTCCGTTCTCCATTACTCTTCATGTTTCACCTTTCCATACCTCATCCTCAAAGTTAGAAATGTCGCTATTTCTCTTTGAAAATAAATTTCGATTTTTAAAAGAAACATTCGCGGTATAATTTTAATTTTCGTTTTACAATCATCAGCCGCGTTATATTGTATTTTAAATGTTACTTTAAATATAAGTTATGAACGGAAAAATACGTCCAGGGTAGCCGAGTGGACAAGGCTCCTGCCCGGTAAGCAGAAGGGTGTGGGTTCGATTCCCGCCCCTGGACACTTTTTATTTTTCCGTTCTTCATTACTCTTCATGTTTCACCTTTCCATACCTCATCCTCAGAGTTAGAAATGTAGCTATTTCTCTTTGAAAATAAATTTCGATTTTTAAAAGAAACATTCGCGGTATAATTTTAATTTTCGTTTTACAATCATCAGCCGCGTTATATTGTATTTTAAATGTTACTTTAAATATAAGTTATGAACGGAAAAATACGTCCAGGGTAGCCGAGTGGACAAGGCACCTGCCCGGTAAGCAGAAGGGTGTGGGTTCGATTCCCGCCCCTGGACATTTTTATTTTTCCTTCTCCATTACTCTTCATGTTTCACCTTTCCATACCTCATCCTCAAAGTTAGAAATGTCGCTATTTCTCTTTGAAAATAAATTTCGATTTTTAAAAGAAACATTCGCGGTATAATTTTAATTTTCGTTTTACAATCATCAGCCGCGTTATATTGTATTTTAAATGTTACTTTAAATATAAGTTATGAACGGAAAAATACGTCCAGGGTAGCCGAGTGGACAAGGCACCTGCCCGGTAAGCAGAAGGGTGTGGGTTCGATTCCCGCCCCTGGACATTTTTATTTTTCCTTCTCCATTACTCTTCATGTTTCACCTTTCCATACCTCATCCTCAAAGTTAGAAATGTCGCTATTTCTCTTTGAAAATAAATTTCGATTTTTAAAAGAAACATTCGCGGTATAATTTTAATTTTCGTTTTACAATCATCAGCCGCGTTATATTGTATTTTAAATGTTACTTTAAATATAAGTTATGAACGGAAAAATACGTCCAGGGTAGCCGAGTGGACAAGGCACCTGCCCGGTAAGCAGAAGGGTGTGGGTTCGATTCCCGCCCCTGGACACTTTTTATTTTTCCGTTCTTCATTACTCTTCATGTTTCACCTTTCCATACCTCATCCTCAGAGTTAGAAATGTAGCTATTTCTCTTTGAAAATAAATTTCGATTTTTAAAAGAAACATTCGCGGTATAATTTTAATTTTCGTTTTACAATCATCAGCCGCGTTATATTGTATTTTAAATGTTACTTTAAATATAAGTTATGAACGGAAAAATACGTCCAGGGTAGCCGAGTGGACAAGGCACCTGCCCGGTAAGCAGAAGGGTGTGGGTTCGATTCCCGCCCCTGGACATTTTTATTTTTCCTTCTCCATTACTCTTCATGTTTCACCTTTCCATACCTCATCCTCAAAGTTAGAAATGTCGCTATTTCTCTTTGAAAATAAATTTCGATTATCAAAAGAAACATTCGCGGTATAATTTTAATTTTCGTTTTACAATCATCAGCCGCGTTATATTGTATTTTAAATGTTACTTTAAATATAAGTTATGAACGGAAAAATACGTCCAGGGTAGCCGAGTGGACAAGGCACCTGCCCGGTAAGCAGAAGGGTGTGGGTTCGATTCCCGCCCCTGGACATTTTTATTTTTCCTTCTCCATTACTCTTCATGTTTCACCTTTCCATACCTCATCCTCAAAGTTAGAAATGTCGCTATTTCTCTTTGAAAATAAATTTCGATTTTTAAAAGAAACATTCGCGGTATAATTTTAATTTTCGTTTTACAATCATCAGCCGCGTTATATTGTATTTTAAATGTTACTTTAAATATAAGTTATGAACGGAAAAATACGTCCAGGGTAGCCGAGTGGACAAGGCACCTGCCCGGTAAGCAGAAGGGTGTGGGTTCGATTCCCGCCCCTGGACATTTTTATTTTTCCTTCTCCATTACTCTTCATGTTTCACCTTTCCATACCTCATCCTCAAAGTTAGAAATGTCGCTATTTCTCTTTGAAAATAAATTTCGATTTTTAAAAGAAACATTCGCGGTATAATTTTAATTTTCGTTTTACAATCATCAGCCGCGTTATATTGTATTTTAAATGTTACTTTAAATATAAGTTATGAACGGAAAAATACGTCCAGGGTAGCCGAGTGGACAAGGCACCTGCCCGGTTAGCAGAAGGGTGTGGGTTCGATTCCCGCCCCTGGACACTTTTTATTTTTCCGTTCTCCATTACTCTTCATGTTTCACCTTTCCATACCTCATCCTCAAAGTTAGAAATGTCGCTATTTCTCTTTGAAAATAAATTTCGATTTTTAAAAGAAACATTCGCGGTATATTTTTAATTTTCGTTTTACAATCATCAGCCGCGTTATATTGTATTTTAAATGTTACTTTAAATATAAGTTATGAACGGAAAAATACGTCCAGGGTAGCCGAGTGGACAAGGCACCTGCCCGGTAAGCAGAAGGGTGTGGGTTCAATTCCCGCCCCTGGACACTTTTTATTTTTCCGTTCTCCATTACTCTTCATGTTTAACCTTTCCATACCTCATCCTCAAAGTTAGAAATGTCGCTATTTCTCTTTGAAAATAAATTTCGATTTTTAAAAGAAACATTCGCGGTATAATTTTAATGTTCGTTTTACAATCATCAGCCGCGTTATATTGTATTTTAAATGTTACTTTAAATATAAGTTATGAACGGAAAAATACGTCCAGGGTAGCCGAGTGGACAAGGCACCTGCCCGGTAAGCAGAAGGGTGTGGGTTCGATTCCCGCCCCTGGACACTTTTTATTTTTCCGTTCTCCATTACTCTTCATGTTTCACCTTTCCATACCTCATCCTCAAAGTTAGAAATGTCGCTATTTCTCTTTGAAAATAAATTTCGATTTTTAAAAGAAACATTCGCGGTATAATTTTAATTTTCGTTTTACAATCATCAGCCGCGTTATATTGTATTTTAAATGTTACTTTAAATATAAGTTATGAACGGAAAAATACGTCCAGGGTAGCCGAGTGGACAAGGCACCTGCCCGGTAAGCAGAAGGGTGTGGGTTCGATTCCCGCCCCTGGACACTTTTTATTTTTCAGTTCTTCATTACTCTTCATGTTTCACCTTTCCATACCTCATCCTCAGAGTTAGAAATGTAGCTATTTCTCTTTGAAAATAAATTTCGATTTTTAAAAGATACATTCGCGGTATAATTTTAATTTTCGTTTTACAATCATCAGCCGCGTTATATTGTATTTTAAATGTTACTTTAAATATAAGTTATGAACGGAAAAATACGTCCAGGGTAGCCGAGTGGACAAGGCACCTGCCCGGTAAGCAGAAGGGTGTGGGTTCGATTCCCGCCCCTGGACACTTTTTATTTTTCCGTTCTCCATTACTCTTCATGTTTCACCTTTCCATACCTCATCCTCAAAGTTAGAAATGTCGCTATTTCTCTTTAAAAATAAATTTCGATTTTTAAAAGAAACATTCGCGATATAATTTTAATTTTCGTTTTACAATCATCAGCCGCGTTATATTGTATTTTAAATGTTACTTTAAATATATGTTATGAACGGAAAAATACGTCCAGGGTAGCCGAGTGGACAAGGCACCTGCCCGGTAAGCAGAAGGGTGTGGGTTCGATTCCCGCCCCTGGACACTTTTTATTTTTCCGTTCTCCATTACTCTTCATGTTTCACCTTTCCATACCTCATCCTCAAAGTTAGAAATGTCGCTATTTCTCTTTGAAAATAAATTTCGATTTTTAAAAGAAACATTCGCGGTATAATTTTAATTTTCGTTTTACAATCATCAGCCGCGTTATATTGTATTTTAAATGTTACTTTAAATATAAGTTATGAACGGAAAAATACGTCCAGGGTAGCCGAGTGGACAAGGCACCTGCCCGGTAAGCAGAAGGGTGTGGGTTCGATTCCCGCCCCTGGACACTTTTTATTTTTCCGTTCTCCATTACTCTTCATGTTTCACCTTTCCATACCTCATCCTCAAAGTTAGAAATGTCGCTATTTCTCTTTGAAAATAAATTTCGATTTTTAAAAGAAACATTCGCGGTATAATTTTAATTTTCGTTTTACAATCATCAGCCGCGTTATATTGTATTTTAAATGTTACTTTAAATATAAGTTATGAACGGAAAAATACGTCCAGGGTAGCCGAGTGGACAAGGCACCTGCCCGGTAAGCAGAAGGGTGTGGGTTCGATTCCCGCCCCTGGACACTTTTTATTTTTCCGTTCTCCATTACTCTTCATGTCTCACCTTTCCATACCTCATCCTCAAAGTTAGAAATGTCGCTATTTCTCTTTGAAAATAAATTTCGATTTTTAAAAGAAACATTCGCGGTGTAATTTTAATTTTCGTTTTACAATCATCAGCCGCGTTATATTGTATTTTAAATGTTACTTTAAATATAAGTTATGAACGGAAAAATACGTCCAGGGTAGCCGAGTGGACATGGCACCTGCCCGGTAAGCAGAAGGGCGTGGGTTCGATTCCCGCCCCTGGACACTTTTTATTTTTCCGTTCTCCATTACTCTTCATGTTTCACCTTTCCATACCTCATCCTCAAAGTTAGAAATGTCGCTATTTCTCTTTGAAAATAAATTTCGATTTTTAAAAGAAACATTCGCGGTATAATTTTAATTTTCGTTTTACAATATATATATCGTCAAATACAAAGTTTGAGGTTACAGTAGGAGATATTGTGAAGTAGTATAATTTATAATTTACAATATATATCGTTCAATACAAAGTTTGAAGTATATTAGGAGATATATATTGAAGCAGTATACTCCATAATTTACAATATATATCGTTTAATACAAAGTTTGAGGTTACAGTAGGAGATATTGAAGTAGTATAATTTATAATTTACATTATATATCGTTCAATACAAAAATTGAAGTATATTAGGAGATATATATTGAAGTAGTATACTTCATAATTTACAATATATATATCGTTAAATACAAAGTTTGAGGTTACAGTAGGAGATATTGAAGTAGTATAATTTATAATTTACATTATATATCGTTCAATACAAAGTTTGAAGTATATTAGGAGATATATATTGAAGTAGTATACTTCATAATTTACAATATATATCGTTAAATACAAAGTTTGAGGTTACAGTAGGAGATATTGAAGTAGTATAATTTATAATTTACATTATATATCGTTCA